AAATGGGGAAATTTGGTCACATTTGCGCCGATTATCTTTGCGATCGCTGAACCCCTTTAGAAAAGATAAGAATATCGATTAAAATACATTATTTGTTTGCAATACTCTATTAATATTAATACCAATTCCCAGAACCAATGATCGCCACCTTCTTCTTTGAGCTCATTTTGCAATTGTTTTGTGTTTTTGAGTTAAACTGTTGTGAGAATTAAAATGAGATTCATTTAGTTATACGATATTCACACAAATTAAACAATCAAAAGATGTGTTGAATTAAATAGGAATTAATGTCAAACTGAATGCCAAGAGTCAGGCGCAGAATTCACAGAATATTATGAATTCATGTGATAATACTGTACTACTGTACTGTATTACAGATACAGTAAGTGTACTGTATAACTGTCTAAACAATAGACTACAAGACGGTTTAAAAAGTAATTTTTTAATGCAAATATTTCCTACAAAAAAATCTAAATAATTTTCATTGAATTAGAATTTAGCTAAAATATTTTCTGCTCGTTTATTTTTAAAACAATTTATTACAACACTTTATAGAAAGGAAAAACTTGCAATGAAATAAGTTTTAAATTATTAATACATTTTTCGATTTTTTTGATTAAATTTCAAATAATGATTGCCAGCTAACGCTAACTAATGTTTATAATTCTCAAATGCAACATAAAATAATTTCCTTGGATTTACTGCTAGTTTAGATTATTACTTGAATTAATTTATATTTTACTAAATTTAAATATATTTACTACTGTATTAAATATAGTGTTACTTACATTGATTTGACAAATAATAAAACTTAATGCTTAAGTTTTACAGGATATTAAAATAGGAAAATTGTGATTAAAAACAACAAAAAACTAATTGCTATTTGATGTCTATTTAATTACTTGTTTTCTATTAATTCAATGGCGATATCTCTATATATTGTACGATATAGTAGTTGCAGTTATCATTTTAGGCGTAATTTTAATACATTAAACATTAATATTTGTCAAATATTATATTTGATATTTTTCAAATGATAAACATTTTTCACGATTTCAACAATGAGAATTAAAATCATTGTAACTAACCTATACAAAAGGGATGTCTTTAATATAATTACAAATTAAATATTTATACATCAAAACATTAATAAATTTAATATATTTTGCAAAATAATACTAAAAATATTTTATTAACTTGATTAGAATTATTGCATCGATAAATATTTTGTTATTTTGATCGATATAGAATTAATGTATTAGTACAATGAGTTTAATATTAAAACTTGTTTAAATTAAACTTTTAATTAAATTTGCATTGAATAAAAAATAATTTCACAAACCTTGTACAGTAATTGGATTAATGATAATTAAAGCAGAAAACAGATGAACAACTAATGAAACAATTTATATTCGCTTATAAAAAACACAATGTTTTCAAATAATGAATTGAAGAGAAAAATAGGAAACAATTTGATTGTAAAACCTGATGTCTACTGATCGGTGTGAGTGAATCCACTGCACTATTTATAGTAAAACTTATGGATTAAATGTAATTTTCCATTTGGAAAATAACAGGACTTTTAGATTTGATCTAAAACTGTTGCCTCTCTTATATTACAAAAAAGTCCTTGAATTTCAAGGTTTCGGAATTTTAATTCAAGATTTTACAGACTCTTTCGACTAGAAAACAGCATTTCAGAAGTCTTTGCACTCCCAGCCCCTCCGGTTTGTACTGTGCTAATAGACACTATGTATTTTGTCTACAGTACACATTTTATCATATCTTTTTAAAAAAAATTATATTCACTTTATTTTCGCACTATTTTCACACTATAATCGTATATTGCCAATATTATAAAATTTAACATTACTTTGTACGTACCGTATAATAGTGTGACAGCAATGAACTTATTACATACGATTATCACTTAATTTCATAACTTAAAGTTTAAAGTATGGTTTGATAATCACTCCTAATATTGTGATCAAACATTCCGTGTCTATAAATTGGGAATATAATTAATTTAGTTCTTCATATAGTCAGCAAAATGTGTTGAAAATTTATTTAAAATAAACAATATTTAAATATAAGCAAATACGGTAAAACATTTTAAAAATCTCTTGGTATTATGCTGTGTTTATTTGATTATTATGTTAATAAAATTGAATTTTTAAAATTCTATTTACAAAACATCAATGCATAAAATGTTTAAAATAATCTTTAAGCTTTCGATTATTTAATACAAATAGCCTTCTATTGAACGATATGATAAATATATATCTTATGTTTCTGTTTATAACATGTATATAGCATATATTCAAAAATCTGTACCCTATATTCCTTAAATAATTATCTTGACCAAAATAATTTTAATTGAATTATGGTTTCTTAGCAACAATATATCAAAATAAACCATTTGTTCTTGTTGATTTAGGAAACACTTAGATTAATATATTTAATTACCTATAATTTTAATGACTATATTTACAATTTTTGTTTGAGACTTTGATAACATAACCTTAATATATTTTCAAGACTATTTCAATTTAAAATGAACTCTACTCTTGTAAAATACGTATACATTTGAATGGGTAGATTATGATAAATGACAATATAAAACAAATATAAGAAAATTTTATTTATACATTAACGGGTTAAATTTTGATAACAATTATTTGTTTAATACACGTGTCTTCTAACACATCAAGAATATAAATGTAAAAATTTCCTGTCAATAATTTCTTACATAAGATTAATTTGTACTCATAATATACTATCTTAAGTTATATCTAAAGTTTAAACTTTTACCGTAACTTTTATTAACTATATCAATAATATAGAATAAAATCATTATTATGGGTAAGTATAAAAATACATAACTTAAACCATTATAACATATTGTAAAAATTTATTTAAATATCAAATAATTATATGTTAATAAGAATGATTAATTTTAATTGAATAGAATTAAATAATTTAATTAAAAAACACTTTAAAAAGATAACCTATATTAATTAATAATTATAAATAAATAATTATGTTAATAAAACTATGAATTAATAATATAAACGATAATCAATGTTATATTCATTTAACAGATTGCTGAGTTGTTCCGGAGGAATGGACAATATTTGGTACATTTAATGGGGTTTATCATCTATTGTATGGTCTCAATGTGACCATACAATGTGATAGAAATGAAATACAATGCAAACTAACCTTGCTCAAATGCTCAAACTAATTGTCTCGAGAATTGCATTGAATGTGAAGCACACGTAATGTATGAATGGTGTGAATGTTGTCATACAGTATGTGTTGGTTTGACATATCATTGAATCAAATGTGGATCTGATTGACGACTCACTGAAGACATCACTACTTACTCATTGCATTTGTGGCCATACAGTGAATCAATTGATCCCAATATGATTAAAGCGATTCTTGTGTTCAATAACTACGGAAAGCCTCGGCTCTCAAAGTTTTATCACTTCTATGTATGTCTTCATTTGACACGATTTCCATCGCAGTCATGATAATCACTCTCTCATTCATTGCATGTGTTGGACCCGCAATCGATGGTCAGCCCGAAGACATGCAGCAACAGATCATTCGCGAGACATTCCAATTGGTGTCCAAACGGGACGAAAATGTCTGCAATTTCCTCGAAGGCGGAAGGTTTGCATCATATGTCAAGATATGACACTAATGTCTGCAACTAATCCCCAATTATCTCGCAATCAGTCTCATCGGTGGATCAGATTATAAGCTCATTTACAGACATTACGCCACTCTTTACTTTGTCTTTTGTGTGGACTCATCCGAAAGCGAGTTAGGGATACTCGACCTGATCCAGGTCTGCACCACTCACTTGCAGTTCTTAGACATCCCTAACACCCCATTCCCACCTATTTCTATATGACGCGATAATTCATTTATTAAATTATAAATTGCTTTTAAAATAAGGTTTTTGTGGAGACATTAGACAAATGCTTTGAAAACGTGTGCGAATTGGACCTCATTTTCCACGTCGATAGGGTTAACCACTTTTGCCTCTCGCTCTCTTTCTCTCTCTCTCTCTCTCTCTCTCTCATTGTGTTAATTATTATAAAATTGATCCAAAGGTTCATCACATTCTGAATGAGTTGGTAATGGGAGGTATGGTTTTGGAGACAAATATGTCTGAAATAACGAACAGAATTGAAGAGCAGAATAAGATTGAGAAACAAGAAGTGAGTCAAACCATTGACTTGTCATTTGTTTTGGCGATTGTCTCACAATTAAGTGTTAAGAATGAATTGATTGCTAAGAGATTCTCACATGAATTCATACAAACATATCGTAAGGACGGTATAAATGATTGAATGAGTGCTAGAATTAAAACTTCTATCGATAATAGCATACATTTATCGGTAAATGATGAGTGAATGCGAGTTAATTGGTGTTCATTAACAAGTGATGGCATACACTGTATTACAGTATATGTGAGTTTGTTAACTAATAATGCAATTTAAAAAAATAAAATTTAGTGAAAGTGGGTGAGTGTGAGTGTGCAATAGTAGCCAGGTCAAGTGAGCTGAAGTGAGTGTTCATGCATGTGGTGTGTGTCGGGAGATGTCGCCGGTGTGTGTCTTTGTGGTGATAACCATTTTGAGTGTCTGTCCCATAGGCCGGTATCAGTGCAGCGCCCGCTCGAGCCGTGTCTGCCATGAAGTCGATTAATATTCCTCAACAGATCAAAGACATGAAGTTACCGGATCTGCCTAATATAAGCTCGCTCAAATTCTGATACATACCGCACGACCGCTATATATATCCAACGCATTGTATTTATTGCTATTATTTTGATTATATTAATAACCGTTTGATTATTATTTGGTTTTTAATTATAAATACATTTCCATTGAATTGAGTTATAATTCACTGAATACTGAGAAACCAATAAACCATTGATTGCTTTGACATTAATTGCCACTAAACTGATCCAATCGGTCACTCGTCGCACAAATGGCTAACACTTCGGACGTATTGCTCTCGAAACTGGAGTCGATCTCTTGGATGTATTCAATAAACTGTCAAATCCATGGCAGAGATAATACGCTTCTTATAAAATACATAATTGAAGAGGACTTCTACGCGGTGATGGTATCAGATCTGACGCAGACCTACTTCGAGTGTCTGGAAGGCAAAGACATCGATGAGCACTACCGGCGCTTCAATAGAGGCGAAGTGAAGCGCGAGAGACTCATGGCTCAGCTGAAGGCACTGTTGGCCGACGTGACCAAAGCCAACGAATGGCACTTCGAGAACCGGATCTGCCTAATATAAGCTCGCTCAAATTCTGATACATACCGCACGACCGCTATATATATCCAACGCATTGTATTTATTGCTATTATTTTGATTATATTAATAACCGTTTGATTATTATTTGGTATTTCATTATAAATACATTTCCATTGAATTGAGTTATAATTCACTGAATACTGAGAAACCAATAAACCATTGATTGATTTGACATTAATTGCCACTAAACTGATCCAATCGGTCACTCGTCGCACAAATGGCTAACACTTCGGACGTATTGCTCTCCAAACTGGAGTCCATCTCTTGGATATATTCAATCAACTGTCAAATCCATGGCAGAGATAATACGCTTCTTATTAAATACATAATTGAAGAGGACTTCTATGCAGTGATGGTATCAGATCTGACGCAGACCTACTTCGAGTGTCTCGAAGGCAAAGACATCGATGAGCACTACCGGCGCTTCAATAGAGGCGAAGTGAAGCGCGAGAGACTCATGGCTCAGCTGAAGGCACTGTTGGCCGACGTGACCAAAGCCAACGAATGGCACTTCGAGACACTTCTGGTCGACTGTCACACCTCGAGACTCACACTCAAAGTCAAGAACCAGATGTCCATTTTGAAGTTTGACTGGAGTTTCTATATGATCAGCACAAACCCAGAGACCCTCTCCCGTCACCTGACGCTCCCTTTACTGCGTTTAGTCTCGTCTCTCAAACACGGCGTCGATGTCCTCAAGAAGGAGATCAAGTCCAAGGATAAACTATTGGAACAAATGGAGACCAACGCTAAGATTGACACCATATCTGACGAGACACTCATCAATAAGATGCTGACCTTCCAGAAGAATATCGTCTCCGGAACTGATGACAACTCTCTCCTCATAAGTCTGTTAGTTGAGGACAAAACCATTAGTTCTGTTCTGAGAAATGCAGACATTTGTGACCAGAGTTTAGATAATAACGACAAGACATCTAAAAATAATTGTCAATCAAATGTCAAACAAAGTGGTGACCAAAATACTAATCAGGTTTGCATTTAGTCCATACATACTGTACATACATAGTGACCGATACCTAATACCTAATGACTGATATATAAAATATGAATTCATGTTGTTTTGTATGCTTTGAATTGTAGAGTCCATTGACTAAAATGAAAGAACCAGTGGTTCCTCCGACACCACCGGAAACGCGAAAGAAGTCTCCGACCCGTCAGAGCAAGAAATTAAAGCTTTAATGCCTTGATTTGCCATTGAATTAAGAAATGTATTTCTCTCTAAAGATATTCATAACACTAATTCATTGATCACTTTTAAATCAATTCATTTCTCCTCATATATTATGTAATAATCAATTATATTGTTTTGTAAGCATTTATATGACTACCAGTCAATCAAATTGAAAAATTAACTACAAATTGAGTTATAGTTATACCGTATAATGAGCACAACTGTACGACTGGAAGTGAATGCAAACAAAATTAATGAAAAGTCAAAAACTGTTGGCACCACTCAATGCCGATGACTAGATTATATGGTGTCTAAGAAATGGTTTTATTGTGGAAATCAGTCTTTAATAAAATTTATCCGTCAATTGTGTGCTAAATAATAAACATTGGATTAATGCATTGAGTGAGACATTTGCTCTCTCGTCGTACAATCTCTCGATTTTTTGCTGATTATATAGTTTGAAATCAATTTATTCTTATATACGGATCACTATAATTAAATTATTTTAATTTAAAACAATACAAAACAATACTTATTTGAATAATTATTTTATACTCATTTGCATTCATTGAAATGAATTTTATTTTGTAATTTAGAAGTTTGGTATGAAATCTACAAATTTGTCATTTTGTTATTCATATTCATTGAATATTGCGATTATTACTGTACTGTATGTTATTTATTAGAATTGATTTGAAGTCTCGAATAAAAAGTTTGAAAATCACACAAACTTATGAATATATGAATAGCTAAACAATACACCAATGATTGTGTCTGTGATTGCGCCCTAACTCTCACCCAAAGCTGTCTGTCCACCAAATTTAGTGCTGGTTTTGACACTCAATTACTATTTGTCAGCCATTCATAAAACGTCTAATGAATTGTTATTTAGTTAGCTATAAAATTCGCGTATTGAATGAATTATAGATTCAAAAAAGTCTGGTTTTGAATGTTTATTATATGTTATGTTGAGGTTTATTGAGGAAACCGGAGTCGCAAACAGAGGGTTTGGATATTTGATGAAACGTTTAAATTGATATCCGATAGTATAGTCTACGAAGTCTAGTCTCGGATGCATTAACTGCTCACTTGCTTATGGACTGCTGGATGCGTTGACAGCACTTAACTTCAATTACATGACTAACATTACAATTCATTGGTTTGCCATTCATAAGCAAATTATGGGCATTCCTGACATGAGTTGAGTAAACTTAGCAAAGTTTGAGACCACCAGCAACTCAACAGTTCTCCTTAATTCAGTTTCTCAACAATCATACCATCATATTGTTGTGCAAACAGTCAGTCCCCGCACAAAGTCTACACAAGTTTTGGGCAAATATATGGGCAAAACACCAAATATACCAAATCATACCAAATACACCGTATGTGCCCCAAAACACACCAATACCACCAAACATACCCCAAACATACCACCAAACGTTCCGCTCAACCATTTCACACAACAAATAAGTGCCGATTCCTGTGTTTACTCCATAACTCTCTGTCTTTTATTTGCCCACAAATTCTCCACCAATTCATAAGCAATACATATCTGTATTATACCAACATTTATCAATTATAATCACCACTAATCACAATTCATTTACTATAGCCTTACTATACCTTCCTATACTGTACTCGTCCGAGGAATTTGTGACGGAATTATGGCTGTAATCGAGTTAAACAATACCTCCTAAGCCATAGGGACTGGTAGTTCACAGCAAGCCATGCCTATGTGATCAATAAAAGAATAGATTTTTATTTCACTGATCATTACATCCCTTTGTATTTCACTTCCCATCACTCATTGTATCGGTTTTCTAATCAAAACTGTCCTCAACTTCTTAGTCGAGACTTCTTTAAATATTTTACAATTTTCTTTCCAAACAAATAAAGAAATTATATTTTAATCCCTTTCCCTAGTCTATACAATCTCCATGTTATCGCTTGATCTGGCATTCAATTTGTGTCCAATTAATGTATTTTATGATCGATTAGTATTCTTAATGAAATTTATCTAAAACTTTATTTTTAGTTTTGTGATGAGATTTGAAATCTAATTCTTTGTTTTTTCACAGAGTATTGACTTATTTTGTTGCTATAAATATAAAAATAATATTAAATCGAGAATTCCTTCATTCGATCATTATTTGAGTCCAATCTGTGGTCTCGAGGTCTGAGAGAAACTTCAAAAGACATATAATTTAAGTTCAATTGGATTATAATTAAACAAAACGATAATAACTGGGAATAAAGATTGCGATAACATATGACTTGAAAGAGGAGTTATTATGGAAAATGTCTTGAAATGAATGCTATATTAGTCACCAAAAAGCCCATAACAGGTATGGTATGGCCTTTCGGTCGGAATCTAAATGCAGAGAAACATTAGGCACTGATTGCAGATAAATAGACGAGTTATCAGTTTTGAACGACGATTTCAAGAGCATATAAGCGCCCAATCGATCAAATGCCTCAAAGTTTTGTGTCGTTTTCGTTTGAAAATATCATTTCTTAAAAATCTTGTCAAATAAAGTCTTAAAATATTCTCAACTCAAACTTTAAGAGAGAGAATCAGAAATAAAAAAAGATTTTATGGCATCAAGAACTGAATAACTGATAAAAATAATGCTATTTTCCACTCATTATTCTGATATAATTCTTAGCGAATAAAATATTTTAAGTTTTAAATTATTATTTACTACACTATAGAGTGAGTGAAAATGCTTTAATTATAACATTAATGTTATATAACTCGGGGGAGTTTCATGTCTATGAGAGTCATTAATATAAAACATAAAATTCACTCTTTTTTAATACCTGTATCTCTCATGAATTGACACAACATAGTATTTATGAGAAAAATAGGAATTTCCCTTTTATTTCATCATAATTTTTCAATCATTAATTAGTATCCATTTGACTACAATTATGATTACATTATTCCTAACAAATTATTTAATAAATATTGAAGCATTGTAATATCCCCAAAGTAAATTATTTATAAATTATAAACTTTAAGTATCTAATCAACAGGATATCACATATTTTGGTAGTTCTGAGTTATGAAACTTAACACCAAATGTATATGCATTTAGAATAACCTTTAGCACTGTAAATTTCTTTACATTAAAATCATAGACAATTGTTTTAATCAAAAGTTAAATGAATATTAGTATTTAATCTTATTAACTTACTATAGAGTTATAATAACTTAATTTCATATTAAAGTCAATTGTTTTCACAAATTTATTGTCAAATAAGTTATAATATTTGATTATTTTTGATGATATTTAGCATAAATCTGTGTGATTTACCTTATATTTACTTATTTCGACTCTTTTTGAGGACTTAATTTGAATGACAGACTATTTTTTAGTTGGCATTTGGTTTTCGATCCCCTCTTTGAATATCTTCATTGCAAAAAATAGGAATTTCCCTTTTATTTCATCATAATTTTTCAATCATTAATTAGTATCCATTTGACTACAATTATGATTACATTATTCCTAACAAATTATTTAATAAATATTGAAGCATTGTAATATCCCTAAAGTAAATTATTTATAAATTATAATCTTTAAGTATCTAATCAACAGAATATCACATATTTTGGTAGTTCTGAGTTATGAAACTTAACACCAAATGTATATGCATTTGGAATAACCTTTAGTACTGTAAATTTCTTTACATTAAAATCATAGACAATTGTATTAATCAAAAGTTAAATGAATATTAGTATTTAATCTTATTAACTTACTATAGAGTTATAATAACTTAATTTCATATTAAAGTCAATTGTTTTCACAAATTTATTGTCAAATAAGTTATAATATTTGCTCAAAAATACAAAGCGATTGATTATTTTTGATGATATTTGGCATAAATCTGTGTGATTTACCTTATATTTACTTATTTCGACTCTTTTTGAGGACTTAATTTGAATGACAGACTATTTTTTAGTTGGCATTTGGTTTTCGATCCCCTCTTTGAATATCTTCATTGCATTTGACGTTTGTATTCATTTTTCGGGGAAAAGAAATTCAAGATATGTTTTGAATGACAGCTCAAGCGATATAATTAGATGAGTTACTGCTAAATAATTATATCATATGAAATTTGATAATTTATTAAATTACCTAATAATAGGTTGTATATTATTCCTAATTATAGTAAAAATTTGTATTTTAAAATATAATTTATATTGTTTTATACAGTTTTTATATTAAATAAATAATAAAACAAAATTATCATATAAAAACCTTTTGAATAAAAACAATGAAATATTTTACACAAATAAAACAATCTATTTAATTAATTTTTTTAATTTCAAATTAATAATTATAACATTTTGAGTAAATTATTAGCAAATAAATAAATTGATAAGGATACGTGTAAAAACCATAATTATAAAATAAAGTTTTAAATATTTTAAAATATGCTACAATATTATTATTTTGTGACTGAATTAAGTAAACATTATTATAAAAATATTAGTTATTACTGTAATATAATAAATTGATATAAGCACAGAATAAAAAGTAGAAATGTGTCAATTATTATCATATAAAATGACAACACGTTTTTAGTTATCTATATTTTCTCATAGATTACTACTTTTTGATAACATTTATGAAAGTGAAACCAATTTTCTAAATAGATTTACTTAATTCTGAAAGTATTGAATATCAAATATAATTTTAAATTTTCAAAATAATAATTAAAATAATTTGTAGAATAATTTATTTAAAACAATTAAAAGTTATACCGGAATTACATTTTTAAGTATTCTAGACAATATTCAAATAATATTATAATTAACTTTTAATTATGTAATTGTATTTATCATACAATAGACTGGAATTTTAACACTTCAGGAGCTTTTTAACATGAAATTGAGACAATTAAAAAATGATTTAATAAAAACAGGCCTCAAATGTAATTTAATATCTTTGCTGTGATTCACTCTTTTGTTGATTTAATTTTTGGCGTTTCTATAATTGAAAGACAATATGAAATGCATTTTACAAGTGTTTTAGGAAAACGATAAATGAGATTAAACCCCTAATCATCAATTCATTTGCAATTCACATGTCTTTTGCATAACATTTGAGGAATTCTTTGGAAATTTAGAAAATCATTGCTATTTTAATAAGTGTTTACTATAGTATGTGTACAAAGTATTCATAAATTTGTTTTATCGCATATTTTGGTGTCTATTTATTTATGTTTAAATTGCGGTATAAATATTGCATCAACGTTATTATTTATACATCATATATTAATAAATTAATAAAATGTTAGAGAAATCTAAAT